AGCCGCCCCCGGCGGCGGCCGCGGCGGCTCCGCCAGCGCCCAACGGGGCGGCCGGCGCGGGGGGGCCGCCCCCGAAGAGGTAGGGGGGCCGTGAGGGGTCGCGCTGGCGGCGGGGCCGAGGGGCCGCGTGCGGCCTCCGCGCTCGTGGGCCCGGCCTGAGGGAGGAGCGGGCCCGGTGAGGGCGATACCGGTGAGGGCGATACCGGGTGCGGGGGCGATGCCGGCGCTGCGGCCGCTGCTCCCTCCGGGCGGGGCCGTCCCGAAGGCGCCTCCGGGGCTCCCGCGGCGCTCTGGGCCCGGTCCCGGCGGGCGGGAGCCCCGGGATCGCCGCCATCCCCTCGCGAAAAGCTGAATTTTGGTGGGATTTCGGCCTCCCTGGGCCGAGCGGGCTGTGCCGGCGCGGGGGTGGTTGAGTTCGTTACTTTTTGTGCTGTCGGTGAGTTGTAAGAACTGCGTTGCCCTGATCCTGCTGCGCGCTTTGGAGCCGAGTGCTCCTTTTTGGGGGTGATTTATTCCTGAGGGGATTTGGGAGCGCACACACCTCGAGGGTGAGGGTTTAAGGGTTAAGGTGGTGCCGGGGAGGGATTGCACAATCCCTCGGTAAAACGTTAGAGAAATTTAAACCAGAATCGGCAGCGCTGCAGTTCCGGCTCTGTAAACGTGGGGATGAAGGGCGCAGAAAGCCTCAGCTGCTTCTCACTTCCTCGTGTTGATGCTCGGTGAATGTTCCACGCTTGGCAAAGCCGGTTTTGGTACCAAATCCACTGCACAGAAAGGACTTCTCCCCCTCAGGGCGTTTCTGGCCTCAGTTTCAGGCGGGCTGATAAGAATCAGGTTGAACCTGGTGTGCTGTGATTCCTGCTGCACACTCGAGCTTGGGTTTGTGCTTCCCGAGACCAGGAGCAGCTTCCCAAGTGTCGCTGTAGGGGAAAAAGATCCATATTTATTTATTTTTCCATTGGAGAGCAGTCAGACTGTGTCTGGCAGTATTTTATTGCCCAAAGCACAATTTCATTGACTGTGCAGTGGAGGCAGGCAGGGGCAGAGACATCCCAGGGACAGGGAAGGGTGTTCCCACCCTGGATTCTGTTCCCAGCACTCCTGGCAACATGGAATGAGCAGTTTGTCTCCACGAGGAGCCAGTTAATTCCAGGAAGTGTAAATAAAGATATCTCCCTGCCGTGGTTTTGGATGCCTCCAGGGGATTTGTTTGTGTCTGCAGGTGCAGTCCTGTCAGGAATGTCCAGCTCTCAGTTCCCCAGGGATAACACCAACGCTCCTGTGGGCAGTTCTCAGTGGCCTTGGGGAAATCCAGTTTGAGAAATAATAATTAAAATCAGAGTGCAGCTTTTAACACAGCTACATTTTGTGTTATTTCATCAAGCAGACGGAAACGAAGGTGGAAAAAGGATTGTCTTATTTCAGCCCTAATTTTGGAGTTGTAAATATTCCATTAATTAAGAAGCTTTAAAAAAGCTCAGTGAGAGAAAGACTGGGAAGTTCCCATCCCTGTGTCTGGAGAAGCTTTGGGTGATGGGAGCAGGGAACACACTCAAATAAAAACCTTCAGAGGCCTCGACTTTCTCCATTTCCTTTTTCCCTGCAGGCTGCTGTGTGTGTTCAGGGGTTGAAATGGTCCTGAGGGGATGGAGCTGGGATTTCTGACCCGGAATTTGCAGGGCTGCACAGGTGCTGGGCTGGGAAAAGCTCAGGACAGAGAGACTGCAGAAACTTCAGCTTTTTTATCTGATGTGTTCTGAATTCCTCCTCACCATGTGTTGTGCACTTCAGCAGCACTGAGTGAGCAAGGAGATTAATTGGATTAGTGAAGGAATTATGTAAGACTGAGGCTGAAACTTTTTGTTCCCTTGGTTGGTTTATTTTTTTTCCTTTCCAGACGGGCTGGGCTTTGAGGTCCCTTCCCACCCGAAATCTCTGGGATGCAGTGGTGCAGCTCTGCTCTGCTGCATCCCCTGCAGCTCACAGGAATTCTCTCCTTGCAGCGAAGGCGAGCGCCCGACCCCCAACGAGAAGAAGAAGGAGAAGGGGATGAAGAGGGGAGGGAACCGCTTCGAGCCCTACGCCAACCCCGCCAAGAGGTACCGAGCCTTCATCACCAACATCCCCTTCGACGTCAAGTGGCAGTCCCTGAAGGACCTGGTCAAAGAGAAAGGTAAAGTGCAGCTCAGGTGGAGAGGCTGGCTGTGCTCCAGCCCGTGCCTGCCTCTGGCTGCAGCTCAGCACTTGCACTTCTGGCTGCACTGGGCCCCAGAGTTTGGGAAACTCTTCCCGAGTGCTCTGGGCGTGGCACAGCCTCGTCCCTGGCAGCCTTCCAGGGATGGTTCCTGTGGAGGCCTGTGGCGTGCAGCTGCAGAGCCTCATCCCAGCATTAGCAGTGTTTTCCTCAGGGATCCACCCCAGGCTTTCAGCAGATTTTAGCCTTGCAGCGCAGCAGAACTTTCTGAGGCATTTTAATGTCTTTTGGGCATTCAGGTGGTTACGTCCTGCTCTGGTGTGTGGATGTCCAGCTGTGTCCCCAGATTTGGAGGGGTTTGAGCTGGCTGCAAGAGCCATTCTGCCATTGGTTGCAGTTCAATGTATTTAAGGGAGACCTGCAAAATCAGGTTGGTGCTTTGGCATGTGCTGCAGCAGAAGCAGGGCTTTGGCAATCAGGTTTGTGGTGTTCCCCCTTCCACAATTCCCTTTAATTCCCATGTGGATGGGAGCTGCCTTTGCTGACCTGAACATCATCTCTTGAGGAAGATGAAGAGATGGAGCTGAGTACTCAGGTAGTGACAAGTCTAAATTAGTGTCATTTCTTCAGGCTGGTGCCCAGCTTTCTAGTTTTCCAGTCACCTTGGAAGTGCAGTGGAGTGGCAGGAAAATCCTTGGCTTCTCCAGCCTTGAAATGTCTAAACCAAGTTCAGAGTAACAGCACAACATTTCCTGTGGGGCACTTCTGGCTCCAGAGCCTCAGCCAGGGTAGTGGGCAGTGGTCATTGTGCTGGAGCTGGGTAAGGACTGACAGTTCAGGTGTTTGAGGTGTGGCCTAAAGAAGGGGAAAACAAAGTTCCAGAGGGTTTAAATTGTTTGTCTTCGGTGGCAAAAGGGAGCAGAGTCTGTGGAGCAGCCATGGGGACTGGGAACTCCCCTGGTGAGGGCTGTTTGGGAGCCAGCAGTGTTTGTGCCATGGCAGCAGTGTCAGCTCAAGGGCTGCTTGAGCAGGCCCTGGCTGTGATGGAGCCCTCAGTGCCCCGTGGCTGCCCCAGCTCCGTTGGCGTTCCGGGTGTGGAGAGGTCCAGCTCTCTGTGCTGTGTTGAATCCCGTTCCCAGTGTCTGCTGGTTTCTCTCCAGTGCCCCTGGATGGCAGAGGCCGGGCTGGGATTGTTTCCTGCCGGGCTGTTCAGCTGCTCATTCCAGCAGATGCTCCATGGGGAACATTGGAGCTTTTCCTTCTGGCTGCAGGGCTTGTCCTGCTAAAACTGGGATCATTCCTGGGGTTTGGCACTGCTGGTGAATCCAAGCGTTTGGATTTGCTGTGGAGTTGTTCTGGACTTCTCCCAGAGTGCTGCTCTCGTGCTGTGCTCAGCCTTGCTTTGTCCTTGAAGAGCAGTTCCAAGCCCCAGGAACTCCGACCCCTTGGAATTCTTGCTTCGGGAGCGTAAGAACGCCAGGCCAAACGTCGCAGGCTCTGGGAGCAGGTGGAATTCTGTGCCCAAGGGGAAACCCTGGGTGTGTGAGGGCTCTGCAGGGCTGGGCCCCGTGCAGGCGGGGCTGTAGCAGCAGGAGCTGAGCTCGGGGAGGTGCCGTGTGTGCAGCAGCTGCCGCTGTTCCTGCAGCCTGCGAGTGGCCAGGCTGCTCCAGGTGCCACCTCTCTCTCTCTCCATGCTCGGGCATCCCAGTGCATTGGCTGGAGAAACTCAATTACAGGTATGCAGTGGGAATGTTGGTAATGGAATGAAGAGATGTTCTTGTTTGGAACTCCCTCGTTGTGCTGGCAGACACAGGGTGTTACCTTACTGCACAGTCCCCAGGGTTTGGTCACGGTGTGGAGCTCTGGGGAGTCAGGGAGGGAGGCATGGGGAAGGAGTGTGCTGTTCTGCCCTTAGCCTGTTCCCCCTTCCATTGGCTGAAGTCTCTGATGAGTTGCTCTGTTTCCCTTGGGCTTTCATCATCTTTCCAAGGAATCTCAGCCCTTCCCTGGCTGCAGGGAGCTTTTCCCTCCCTCTGCTGCCTGAGCTCTTCAGGAGCATAAATCACCACTTTGTCTGGGTGCTCTCTTGCAAAAGGGAACTTTAACTTTCCCTTCCCCATCTGACAGAATTGCTGACTGCTGTCTCTGCTTTGGGAAGGTTTTCCTTCTCCTTTTTCAGCCAAAGTTTTGCATGTGTAAACCTTGCTCCTCTTCTCTCCCTTACAACTTTTCAGGGGTTGCCTGTCCCAAGCTTTTACCTGTAAATGAGGGAGGAGCTGTGGCCAGCTCTGCTTTGCCTCACATTGGGAGTGTGAAGCTTTTTGATCCTCTTGGATCACTTGTTCTTCAGAAGATGAGGAGACATCCAGCCAGTTTGGGGTTTTCCTTCCATGTTTATTATTTACTTTTGGCCTTGGAGGCCAAGGAATAGCTGCTACAAAGCATTTCCCCTGTCCCACTTCCCTCTCTGCACCTCTCGCACCTCTCGGAGCTCTTTGGCTTGTCACAAACTGTTAAAATCAAATTGCCCAACCTAAAGTTGTTATTTCTGTCTGAGTTTGTTCTGGGGAGTTCCCAGATGTGTCTTCAGGGCCTCGGGTCACCCTGGGAATCCTGATCTGAGCTTCCTGGACAGGCCCTGCAGAGGATTGGAATTCTGGGGGAGCAGCCCAGCTTGAACATTGGCACTTTCTGTACTGATAAAGTTTGGGAAGTGATACAAAGTTTAAAAGAGGATTAAAAATAGTGCCTGTGATAAATAGCACTGAAGCTTCCTTCACTTTGGATTTCTGCTTGTTGCAGTAAATTCTGCTCCAGTCTCTTAGTCTGGGAAAAGCTCCATTTCCAAACTTAAGTTGTGTGGTTTAAATAAATCCATAAATCAGTGTCCTCTGCATTAAGTCTTAAAGACACCATGGAGAACATGTTCTTTAATTGAACCTGCAGTGACTTGGAGCCAGTGGTTTTTTGGAAGTTTCCTCCCTTGGGAAGCTCCTGAAGTAACAGTTCTTGTGCTTGGATGGAATTTCCCCGCTTGTGGCTGTGGGATGTTCCCTGTCAGAATCCAGCTGTTCTCTGGCAGGAGGGAATCCTGCCAGGGTCACTGGGCATTTATCCTGGTCTGGCACATGGATATCTGCTCCTGGTACTTTTCCATGGCATCCTGTGGTTTGGGATGTAGAAAAACACTCCAAAACTCCAAATAAAATGTGACCCAGCCTAGCTTCTTAAAAAAGGTTTCCTTTGCCAGCTGCAGACATGTTCTCCTGGCAGAAGGGTTGGCCTGGCCCCTCTCACATTTTAAGGTGAAATGAATGCATTTCCATGGCAGTGGTTGTGGGCTCTTTCTTGGCTCAGAGCTGTTGCACTCAGTGTGTCATTCCTCCCTCGTGCTGTTCTGAAATTGGGCTCTTCAGGAAGTTCAGGTGTCCTTTAAAGCAAAGCAGCTTCTTCAGGCTGGATATTTGGATTTTCATGTATCTGTAAGGCTCCAACAGGAAGCTCTGAGCAAAATTGTCACAGACTGAACTTTCCAAGAGATTCCAGGAGATCTTGTGGTTCAGAGTCAGGGATTGGTTACAGGAGCAGATGTTCAATTGCACTGGGTATCCTCAAGCTTGGCAGACTCCTTAGGGAGCTGTTAGTGAGGAGCTGTAGGTGAAGTGGCTGGGAGAGGAGAGCCCTGGCTGTGGGGAGTGCCAGCCCTGGCAGCTGTGGCTCGCAGAGGTTTTGGAGTGGAGCTCACCTGGGAAGAGCTGGTGACTCCTGGCCCAGGTGTGGTTGGATTCTGGCTGCTGCTCTTGAGCTGGATGGCATCAGAACCTCGTGGCAGTGCTGAGCCCCCAGGACCCCTTGGGAGCAGCCCCACGTGAGCTGTGGGAGCTCAGGGGGATCAGAGACTGGAATTCCTGAATTCCTTTTTGGGCTTGGTACCAATGTGGATTGGATTCTGGCTGCTGCTCTTGAGCTGGATGGCATCAGAACCTCGTGGCAGTGCTGAGCCCCCAGGACCCCTTGGGAGCAGCCCCACGTGAGCTGTGGGAGCTCAGGGGGATCAGAGACTGGAATTCCTTCTTGGGCTTGGTACCAATGTGGATGGAGCTGCTGGAGCTGTGGGTGGTAGTGGACACTCAGTGGAGTCCCTTTCAGAGGGACTGGTCAGCCTTTTCCAGCCTCAAACATTGTCCTCCCAAAAGCAGGAGTGCATCAGAGCTGTTCCTCCTGTTCTCTGGCTGGAATGCTCCTGCTAAATTATTGTTTAAAATAAGAAATGGAGATTATAAATCAGGGGTTTCTTTAAGCATTCCTCTTTTCCAGCTTCAGGAGAGCCCTTCCAGGCTGTCAGTTTTCCACAGTGTCCTGTAAATTGCTGGGCCTGGTGGAGGTCAGGCTGAGCACCTCCCTCTGTCCCTGGCAGAGTCTTGTAAAACCCCAGTTCCTTGCTCCAGTTCAACTATTCATTACTCAACTGGCTCGTGGTTTCCCACAAATAAAACATTCCACTGTCCAGATAATGCAGCTTGGAGTCCTCCTGGTTTAAATTTAAACCCTAGGACTTGTAAAAACATGAAGGAAAAATAGTAAAAAAAAAAATTTATTCCATTCTTCTGTATGCCAGTCCCTTCAAAGGCAGCAGCCATTTGGGTAGTTGCATTCTGGAGGTCCCTGCCAGGGTCATTTGGTCCTAGAGAGGCAATCCCAGTCCTGTGAGGAAAGGGGCTGGTGGAGTTTTCCATGGACTTCTGTCTTTTGCTGTTGACAGTTTTGTCTTGAGAGCAAATATGGCAGATTTTAAAGCTAAAATAGAATTTATTGTGGCTTAACAAAAACCTGTTAAAGTAAATAGCAGGCAGGCAGTGATGTCTTGATCTGTTGGTTCAGTGTGACTCCTTTTTTGTTTCTAAACCCCGACAAAAAGAAGTCACTTGAAATTCTGGATGATGGAGCCAGGTCTGCATCCTGTGGAAAGTGAAGGAAACTTGTTCCTGCAGCCTTTCCCATGGGTTTGGATTGCCTCAGGTAACAAGTGGGCACTAAAGTTCCAGGGAACCGTGGAAATTTGTCTTTTGAGGTGGAGGAAAACCAAGAACATATTGAAGTGCTTGAAACCTTTACTGCATACCTGTAATTGTCCAGTTTTGTGGTCTAGAGAACATGGAGTGTTTCTGGGCTTTCTTATAAGGCAGAGGCTCCATACACGGTTGTTGATTGTTCTAAATTCCCATTGTTTTCTTGGCTTTTCTCCCTTGGTATCTGTGTCGTCTGGAATCTGATTTGTAGTTGGTGAGGTAACATACGTGGAGCTCTTAATGGACGCTGAAGGAAAGTCAAGGGTAAGTGTTTGAGAGTTTCTTTGTGGATTTTCTACCTGAAATGTTTCTGTGTGCTGGACAGGAGGCCAGGGAGGCTCAGAGTGTGGATGTGCAGCGGCTCTAGGTCAGGAGTGCTGTGGGATGGGAGGAGGTGGGGTGGGCTCTGCACTTCAGTCAGGAGCTGTTCCCCGCGTGCCGTTGGCGTTGGCCGTGTGACCCTGGAGCCCAGCAGGCAGGACAGGGCTCTGGAATATTCCTGTGCTTTGGAAAAGTCACTCGAGTGGTTGGCTGAGTTTGGAAGGGCCAGGGTGCAACAGCAGGTGCTGCAAACTCCACTTCCTGGGCCAGTAGAGAGAGGTAAATTCCTAAATGTAAACGTTCAGTGCCTTCATGGGCCTTGAGTCCAGCATCAGGGAAGACAATAGGAGCACTCCTAAGTGTCCTGAAGGATATGGATTTAGGGTGAGAGTGTGGAGGGTTTTGCTGTATGCCAGGGAAGAGCAGGTCACAGGAAGCGTGTGGCATTTCGTGGAGAGTCGGGATTTAGTGTTTGTTACAACCTCAGAGACCCCAGGTTCATCCTGTTAAGGCATAAGAAATTATGGAATTCCACTATTGGAGGCTTGCCCTGTGTAAGGTTACATTTATTTTCGCTGGTAGGGCTTAACTGATGTGATTTGGCTTTAATAATAAAATAGTTGTGTGTGATTTGGGCTTTCACTGACTTGATTTCTTCTCTCTTCCCTCCTCCCTGTGACTGCCCTGGGAAATCACCTCGCCAGGGATGCGCGTAAGTTCACTCTGAATTTTTACCAGAAATCCAAGGAGGCTTCTTCAAACAAAACATCCTGAGCTGTGTCGTGTCCCCACAGGGTGGTTGAGTTCAAGATGGAGGAGAGCATGAAGAAGGCTGCTGAGGTTCTGAACAAGCACAGTCTTGGTGGGAGACCCCTGAAAGTGAAAGAAGTAAGGAGGGGATCTGTTCTGGCAGGGGTGGAGTTCTTGTTAAGGGCTTAGGGCTGACTCAGAGGATAAAGGACAGAAAGTAGGATTTAAATAGGATAAAAAACCCCCAGTCAACCTTTTTCTAATCGTTTTAACCACTGCTGAACTTGTGATTACCAAGACTAAATTTGCTGTGAGGGCAAAGCCGTAGTTTGGCTTTAATTGCAGTTCCTTTGTTAATGATTTGACACAGAAACATGACTCCATGTTTGTTCTTTACAAACTTCCCTTTGAATCTGGCATCAGAATGAATGGATTCCACCAACAATTCCATAGAATCAGCTCTTTCCTGGAACACCTCAAAGATGTGTTTCCATTTTAGTGGCTTTGCTACTGACAGCCAGTCCTGGGAGTTCATTCCAAACCCTCTCCAGTGGCACTGGGGTTTATCAGGGTTTGGAACAGGTGTAACAGAGGATTGTTGTTGGTATTAATGATGGATAAATACCTTGGGAACCAGGGAAATGCCTGGGGAGGAATAACTCCAATAATAAAGGGTACCAATAATAAAAGTAACAATTTAAATGATAAGAGTGCTGGGTGTTGGCTAAAATAAAACAAATTGACTGCCAAGGAAAGGGAGGCAGTTGGCTGGGAACGCTTAGGGAGCAGATATCCTGGGGTAAAGGGGAACTCCTCTTTGTGCCTGCTGGAGCCCTGGCACTGCCCGTGGTGCACGGGGGATCTGATCTGATCTGATATCTGTCTGTGTGTCCCAGGACCCCGACGGGGAGCACGCCAGGAGGGCCATGCAGAAGGTGATGGCAGCAGGAGGGATGGGCATCGGGCCCGGCCCTGGCGGCCCTGGCATGATCAACATCCCCCCCAGCATCCTGAACAACCCCAACATCCCCAACGAGATCATCCACGCCCTGCAGGCCGGCCGCCTCGGCAGCACCGTCTTCGTGGCCAACGTGAGTGCCAGGCACCCCCTGCTGCAGGCCCAGCAGTGGGAGCCTCTCAGCTGGGCAAATCTGAGGGAGGAAAAGCCTTGGCAATTCCAGGAACAGTTCCTCTGTTGATTCTCTGTGCAAAGGAGGTTCTCAGTTAAGGTGTGCTACATTGTTAATTGGGATTTTTGAACAAACCTCTGTGCTTGGATTGAATTTTATCTCAGCTCTCTGACAACTTCAGTGCCAATACCAGGGAAGGACAGGAGCCCACCAAAGCTGTTTTCTCATGGAAATCTCTCTTGCATTGCCAACAATGCCCTGTTTTGCAGCTGGACTACAAGGTGGGCTGGAAGAAGCTGAAGGAGGTGTTCAGCATGGCTGGGGTGGTGGTGCGGGCCGACATCCTGGAGGACAAGGACGGCAAGAGCCGCGGCATCGGCACCGTCACCTTCGAGCAGGCCATCGAGGCCGTGCAGGCCATCTGTATCCTTGGCAGCAAACTGGGAATGGGCAGAGAACCCAGGAAACACAGCAGGGGAGAGGGGGAATTGTATCCCAAAGGAGGACTTGCCGTGGCAGGGAAGGTCAAGTTGTAGCGGATGGGAAATGGGAGGAAAAGCGAAACGGAGACAAAATTCTGTCCTGAAGGAGTTGTTGCAGTTTGCTCAGGATCTTTAGCAAAGGAAATTTTCTTTCCTACGTGGTAAATGTACTCCTGTCCCAGATGAGTTTCTGTCTTCAGGTTGTAATTAGTATTAAAATGCAATTCTCTGAAAAGATTTGTCTGGAAAGGGAAAAGGTCCCCGTGCCAAGGCACACAGAGCTGGTGTTTCCTGTTCCCTTCCACTGGCCAGCAATGATTTGCCACCTAGAAACCAAACAGCAATAAAATTCTGGGTATTACTCTCTCAGCTCCTGGTTATGGTATTGTATGGATAGGAAGCAAATACTCCCTCTTTCCTTTCCCAGAGTTTCTGTTTGAGTGTGAATTCCCTTCTGCCCTGCACCCACTAAACCTTGTGTGAGCCAGACTTGGGCAGAGGATTTGCTGGCATGGCACACTTCAGAATGTGATGTTGCTGTGGAGCTTTTCCCTGTTTTCTCCTGTTTTCAGTGACTGAGGAAACACTAAAACACTTGGGCTGACTTAGAGTTATGTTTTGTATCTCTTTGTGAGCTTAATCTTACCCAGAATTGTGTTTTTATCAATTTTTTTAATTTCAAAAAGCCCTTTTTTTTGAATGTTCAGTATATTTGTTCAGTATATTTTTAGTTTTGGAGAAGACAGAAGGATTTGGGATAACCTGTGAATGGAAACTGAGGAGATGGGATTTTCTGAGGGGTTTTTGTGCTCCCTGTCAGAGCCCTCAGTGCTGGAACAATGATCCTTAACGACCCCCAGCGATGTTCAATGGGCAGCTGCTCTTTGACAGACCCATGCACGTCAAAATGGTGAGGACACCCCCTTCCCACTGAGCTGGCAGTGCCCTCCTGCTCTGGGGGAATTTGTGCTTTCAAGGGTGGATCAAAATCCACAGGGAGAAATGTGTGATTTGCCTGTTGCCTTGATGCAATCAGGGAAGGTTAATTCAGATTATTTTGCTAAAAGACAAATCAAGACTACAGTCAAGACTGCTTTAACTTGAAATTTCTGTATTTTAATTCAAAGTTTTAAGATTCAGGAAATAATTTCCTGCTTTCCTTGCCAGCTTTAACGTGTTGAATTCCTTTTAGGATGAACGAGCCTTCCCCAAAGGAGATTTCTTCCCTCCAGAGCGACCCCAACAACTCCCTCGTAAGTGTCCCTGCATGATTCAACATCTTCTGCTTTTTATTTGGCTGTTCAGCACCTGGGAACCAGTCCCAGCCCCAGTAAAACTCTGGTTCAGACTGGAAAACTGGCATCCAAATTCCTGAATAATTTCAGAAAGGGGAATAGTGAAGAAGAGCTGCTCAGTGATTTTTTGGATACTTCTTTCAGCTCATGGCCAGAAGCTTGTCTTAAAACATTCACCTTCTCAAGGCTTCCAGAGCTCTCCATTGCAATTCCAAGATCCCAGTGCCTTCCATTAAGAGTGGGATTTTATGGAAACACAGTGACTCAGTCAGCTCCTCCTTCTGTGGGATGCTGCTCTGGGAATGGAATGTTTTCCCTTAAATTGGAAGGGCTCAATTCAGGACCTGGGAGCCTTCCAGGCCTTCACATTTCCAAAGGAGATCTTATCAATGTATTAAATATGGAAAGAAGAGGGGGCCAGGCTCTTCTTGGAGGTGCAGGATGCAGAAAGCACCGACCAAAACCCAGGAGATGAAAATTCAGAGTAATTGGCTGCCCCAAGCTGCTCCTTCCAACTTGGAATTTGAATGAACTAAAAGATCAAGTGTAAACCAGCAGTGGAAATGCACAGGCTCCATGTGGATTAAGGAAACATTCCTGGGAGGGTGACTGGGTTGCTCAGAGCTCCTGAGGAGTCTCCATCCCTGGGAATCCCCCAAAGCTGTGGATGTGACCTGGGCTGAGCTGGGGCCCTCAAAACCTCGGCCATGCTGGGATGAGACCCTGCAATACTGAAGAGAAGAGTTGGGACTGGAAGAGCTGGAGGCTGAATTTGCTCAAATGCAGCTAAATTGGGGCTGTTGATGGAATTTGAATGGTCCTGAGCAGCCTGAGCTGTGGAAGGGCTTTAAGGTCCCTTCCAACCCAAACCAGTCTGGGATTCTGGCATTCTCTGAGTTCAGACAGATGCTGTTTTCTTCCTGGGAACCAGACCTGTTGTGTGCTGCTAAATTGTCCATTACTAATGATCATTAATTAGTCCCTCCCTCCCTAGTTCAGCTCTCAGTGCCTGTCGAGGCCTTCCTCAGCAGCAGTGTCACTGTAAGGATGTTCCTCTCTTCAGGACAAAGTCATTGGGTTCCAATTCCATGACCTTGGTGTAAAACTCCCTAAATCCCTCTGGAAGCCTGGATTTTGGCCTTACTGGGGCGGGGAAGGGGGACCTTGTGCTGTTTTAAAACAAGATTCAACACTCCTGTGTTCAGTGCTGAGCTGGAAACGAGGGAATCCTGCAGGCAGAGGATGCCATGAGCTGGTGTTTGTGCCAAGCACAGAACTTTCTTCCTGCTTCAGGGAAAAAAAAGGGCTTTTTCTTCTTTCTTTGGGCTGGGGAATCCTTGAGGCAGAGTGAGCTCTGCCTGGGAGTGCAGTGTGGTGTTTGCTCAGAGAGAGGCTGGCTGTGTGCTCGCAATTCCATCGGTGGCTGTCATTGATCCATGGCTGCTTCAGTTCTCCCCTGCCAGGGGCCAACCCTGGCAGGGCTGCAGTGAGAACTGTGCACAGGGTTAGGGCATCTTCTCCCAAATTGCCCACTCCACATCCTCAGCTGAGGACTTTGCCCAAATGAAGCAGTGTTCTAGCCAGTTATTTTTCAGGAGTCAGCTCCAAACCAAGTTTTCGCAGCAGTAAGATGGAAATTTAAATATAAAACCAAATAATTGGAGAATAGTTTTTAGGCTGTTTCAAGGCACATCTACTCTTGATTTATTCCACACTTCCCTGCTTTCAGTACACACCCCACAGGGGGGACACAGCAAGCTTTTTTTGGAGAATGAAAGTCAATTACTTAAGAAATAAAACTTGCTGTTTTGTCAAACTATGGAAAGAAGGCTTTTTTGATATCTGAATATTTTCTTCAGATGGTCTTGGTGGTATTGGCATGGGATTAGGACCTGGAGGTCAACCTATTGATGCAAATCATTTAAACAAAGGCATGGGAATGGGCAACATGAGACCTGGAGGTAAGAAGATTACTCCTATGCTTTTGTTTCATGAGAGCTTTAAGCTGTGTAGAAGGTAGATAGCTTTGTTTGCCTCCCCAAAAAGTTGGTAGTTTCTTAGGAATGTTAAAGCCAAATGAGTTTTTTTTTTGTTCAGCTTGATAATGGAAACTTGAATTTAACCAACTGCTCCATTTTTTATTTTTTTTTCACTGTGGCCAAGACACAGCTCTCATTTTCTGACTCTTGAGCATGAGCAGCAGACACTGCAAAGATCCATGAAACTCCAAACCATCTCTCACTTTTAACACCTCTAGTGGGCTTGCAAATCTTTGGTGAGGATCTGTTGAAATAGCACAAGTTTCAAAGAGCCACCTAAAAAGTAGCACACACTCAGCTTTCCATGTCGAAATGCCAGTGGGTTTTTCCCCTTTGCTGCTTGATTTTCTGAGCAGGAATGTTGAAATCTCCTCAGACTTATCCCATGTATGCTCTTCAGCCCAAGCCATGGATGTGTTGTGTGGTTTGAGTTCTGCAGCCTTTGGCTGGAATTTCTTGCATGACACCTGCTATATAAAGCTTTCTCTTTTATTTTGAGGAATGGGAATGGAAGGCATGGGCTTTGGAATGAATAAAATGGGAGGTAAGCTGTGGTTCTTGATCTGTTCCTAGCTTGGCCTTTGTGCAAGTCCAGCAGACTGAGCTGTGTGCATGTGGCAGGAATTTGTGTGCTGGGGAATCACCACCAGTTTAGCAAGAATTTGGTCATTTTTGGGTATTCAGACTGCTGCAGGTGTGTGGGGAGGGTGGCTACATCCCATAGAACATGACCTGTGCTTCCTTAGCTCAGGAGATCTGCAAGTGTCATCCCTGGGGGGTGGAACTGGATCCTCAATATCCCAACCCAAACCACTCTGTGATCCCATGGTTTTTAGAAAGCTGTGCCCAAATCCTGACCCCTGTTTGGGAGCTGGTGGTAGGGACGTGTCTCATGCCCGTGGGGATGTTGTGTGGCAGCAGCTGCTGGCTGTGCAGCTAAAGAATCCCTGGCAAATGTGTTTTTTAGGAATGGAAGGTCCCTTCGGTGGCATGGAGAACATCGGCCGCTTCCCGGGCGGGATGAACATGGGCAGGATGAGCGGTAGGCACTGCCCTCCTGTGTGTCCTGCTGCCTTCCTGGGAGGGATCCCTCTTGCCAGGAGCCTCCTCTCAGTGTTATGGGAATAATTTGGGGTTTTTCCACTTGTGTCCCCAAATCCCTTGTGGTTTCTGAGCTGCACCTTGGTACCTTGCAGGGTTTATTCAGAAAGATTCTGGCTCTGTCCAGTGCCCAGAGCCTCCCATGTGTTTGGGGAAAATTCTGCTTTTCCTTGGGGCTTTGGGCTCCTGGAGCCATGACAAAATGATCAGGAGAAAATCACAAAAACCCTCCTGTGCCATGAATCTTCGAGATGATTCCTGTGGTAAAATGTTCTCTCAGGGGCCATAAAACCCCATGCAAACTTTTCCTCTTCCTCTTTGCAGAGATGGATCGTGCCATGGGAGGGGGATTTGAGAGGGAGTTTGGAAGAAATGAGATGGGAATGTCCCGGAGTTTTGGAGAGACCCTGGAGAGGGGAATAGGTGAGTGCAGTATATGAAATCCATTTCCTGCCTGCTTTTTATCCCTGAACTGCTCACAAAAATTATGGGGGTGTTAGAGATAAAAAAAGCAGATTTTAGATTTGCTGTAGAAATTTGCTGTCTGGCTTCTAAATGCTGTTGGGAAGTTGTTAATTTTTGTCAGTGAAAACAAAATCCTGCTTCTTCTGCTGCCTGTGTCACATTTAACTTCCATTAAGCGTGTCCCCTGGAAATACTGGGCAATCTCAGTAATGAAACTGTAGAATTTCTGGAGCAAAGCTGAACCCAAACATCTCTGAGCAGGCAGAGCTCCTCCATCACCTTCCAGATTCAATTTGGTTTAATGACCAAATCCCAACATTTCAGAATCAAGGGAACCATTCCCTGGGTCCTGTCCCTCCATCCCTTGTCCCCAGTCCCTCTCCAGCTTTCCTGGAGCTCTGAGCTCTTCCTGGAGCCTTCTCCTCTCCAGGTGAGCACCCCCAGAGCTCCAGAGGGTCTCCAGCTCTGGGAGCAGCTCCGGGGTCTCCTCTGGACTCTCGCCAGCAGCTCTCCATCCTTATTTGGGGGTCCCAGGGCTGGGGGGGTCTGACCTGAGCATCTGAGTTTGCCTCATCCTGCAGGCTCAGAGCTCTGCGTGATGAAATTCAGCCCAGCAGAGCAAATCCTGCCTCCCTGCCCAGCTGCTGACGCTGTCCGTGCTGTGTTGCAGGTGGTGGCAACGCCAGCATCCCCGGCATCGAGCGGATGGCCCCCGGCATCGAGCGGATGGGCTCGGGCATCGAGCGGATCCCGGCGGGCATGGGGCACGGGATGGAGCGGGTGGGCTCGGAGATAGACAGGATGGGGCTGGTGCTGGACCGCATGGGCTCCAACGTGGAGCGCATGGGCGCGGGCATGGAGCGCATGGCCCCGCTGGGCATCGACCACCTGGCGCCCAACCTGGAGCGCATGGGGCCGGGCATCGAGCGCATGGGGCCGGGCATCGAGCGCATGGGCTCCGGCATCGGCTTCGGCATCGAGCGCATGGGCGCCGCCATCGAGCGCGTGGGCGGCGCCATGGACAGGATGGGCTCGGGCGTGGAGCGCATGGGGGCGGGCATGGATAGGATGGGCATCGGCCTGGAGCGCATGGTGCCCGCCGGCATGGGCACGGGCATGGGGCAGGTGATAGAGAGGATGCCCGCCGGGCTGGAGCGCATCGGGGGCCCGCCCATGGACAGGATCGGGATAGAGAGGATGGGAGCCGCCCCCATGGACAGGATGGGCCTGGAGCGCATCGGGGCCACCAACATGGAGAGGATGGGGCCGCCCATGGGGCAGGGCATGGGGGCGGGCATGGAGCGCATGGGGCTGGCCATGGGCAGCAACTTCGAGCGGCCCATGGACATGGAGCGGGGCAACTTCGCAGGGAATTTTGCAGGGTCCCTGGGAGGAGCCGGAGGCCCTGCGGCCGGCGTGGCCCGGAAAGCCTGTCAGATATTTGTGAGAAATGTGAGTGCCCCTTTTTCCTTCTGCCACTCCTGCCCTTTCCCACCCGTGGCATTCATTGTCACTGGTATGTTACCTCATCCATGCTTGGTTTCCAGTCACAGTGTGTGACACTGGGTGCTGCCACTCTTTGGGGACAGTTGGAGCCTTTCCTTACCAGGAGAAGAGCTCCTGGCTGACCATAATCCATGGTTTTATGGCAGTGGCTGTGCTGGGATAGATTCTGGTTTTGGGGAGCTGGGGGTGCCTGCAGGTCATTCAGCAGAGCCTCAGTAATGGTTTATTTCTCTCTTCCCACAGCTGCCTTTTGATTTTACATGGAAAATGCTGAAAGATAAATTCAATGAATGTGGTGAGTTGCTTTCCTCACTGAAGAATTGATACGAATAACCTCCCAGAGCTCTGAGTGCCAAAGGCAGGGTGGGGAGCAGCCCTTGGGGTGGAGAGTGGCGATTGGATGGAGAGAGCCAAAGCCAGGGGTGGGGAACAATCCTTGGGGTGGGGAATTGGCATTGGATGGAGAGTGCCAAAGCTGGGGTAGAGAGCAGTCCTTGGGGTAGAGAGTGCCAAAGCCAGGATGGGGAGCAGTCATTGGGGTGGGGAATTGGGATCAGTCCTTGGGGTTGGAAATGGGGATTGGATGGAGAGAGTCAAAGCCAGGGTGGGGAGCAGGGGCATTGGGATTGGATGGAGGGTGCCAAAGCCAGGGTGGAAATCAGTCCTTGGGGTGGGGAATTGGGATCAGTCCTTGGGGTTGGGAATGGGGATTGGATGGACAGTGCCAAAGGCAGGATGGGGAGCAGGGGAATTGGGATTGGATGGAGGGTGCCAAAGCCGGGGTAGAGAGAAGTCCTTGGGGTGGAGAGTGCCAAAGCCAGGGTGGGGAGCAGTCGTTGGGGTGGAGAGTGGGGACTGGATGGAGAGAGCCAAAGTGAGGGTGGTGAGGAGGGGAACTGGATGGAGAGTGCCAAAGCCAGGGTGGGGAGCAGTCCTTGGGGTGGAGAACAGGGACTGGATGGAGAGAGCCAAAGCCAGGGTAGGGATCAGTGCTTGGGGTTGAGAAATTGGGATCAGTCCTTGGGGTGGGGAACTGGGATCAGTCCTTGGGGTTGGCAGTGGGGATTGGATGGAGAGAGCCAAAGCCAGGATGGGGAGCAGCCCCGTGCCTGACCCCGCCGTCCCGCAGGCCACGTGCTCTACGCCGACATCAAGATGGAGAACGGCAAGTCCAAGGGCTGCGGCGTGGTGCGCTTCGAGTCGCCGGAGGTGGCGGAGCGCGCGTGCCGCATGATGAACGGGCTGCAGCTGCGCGGCCGCGAGATCGACGTGCGGATCGACCGCAACGCCTAGGCCCCGCTGCAGGGCTGCGGCTGCACCGCTGCCATGCACGGCTGCAGCTGCACCGCTGCCATGCACGGCTGCATGGCTGCAGCTGCACTGCTGCAGCGGCACCGCTGCCATGCACGGCTGCGGCTGCGCCCGCGCCGCCTCCCACTGGATGTAAAGCTGTTCAGCCCGGCCCGGTTGCTTTCTGGAGTCATTTTAAGTCCTTTTTTTAACCGAGGGAGCCCCGTTTTACTGGTTTTTTTGCATTGGAACTGCCATGTGCACAATCTTCTTTTGTAGTTGTGGCATTTCGTTGGCCTGACAGATGTAAACAGTCTGACTTTGATAATAAATGCCAGTTCAGTATTTCGGTCGCAGCATCCTTTACTCTGCTTAAAATGCCTGCCAGCTCAGCTCAGCAAACTCCAGTTTGTCAAAAAAAAAAATCCACAGTTCCTCCTGCTTTCCTCTCTTTAAGATGTGTCCAAGTATCTTCCCTCTGCTGTGTCCCACTTAATCCATGGTTAGTCCCAGCTCAGGTTTTCATCCAGTGGCAATATTTAAAAAAAATCTCCCCTGGGTCATGTTGGTGCCAGTGGAAAGCTTTGAACTGAAAAAGGGTTAAAAACCTCTTTATTCTCCTGTGGGGTGAATGGCCCAGGCAGGTAAGGGGCAAACACCTGCTGCAGCTGCCAGGGGGAGAATTCCCCTTTTCCTGCAGGAAACGCTTTGAACACAAACGGATCAGGGTTGGGGCCGGGAGGGGGGGTTCCCGGTGGGACGGGGGAGGATCCGGAGCAGCCGCGAATGGGGCTGGGGAGGGTCGGGGACAGGCCCCGGTGGGGCCGGGAAGGATCCGGAGCATCTCCGGTGTTGCCGGGCCGGTCCCGGAGCAGCCTCGATGGTATCGGGCCGGGTCCGGAGCAGCCCCGGGGGTCCGGCCCGGGGATCCCGGAGCAGCCCCGGTGGTACCGGGCCGGGTCCGGAGCAGCCCCGGGGGTCCCGCCCGGGGGTCCCGGAGCAGCCCCGGTGGTACCGGGCCGGGTCCGGAGCAGCCCCGGGGGTCCGGCCCGGGGGTCCCGGAGCAGCCCCGGTGGTACCGGGCCGGGTCCGGAGCAGCCCCGGTGGTACCGGGCCGGGTCCGGAGCAGCCCCGGTGGTACCGGGCCGGGTCCGGAGCAGCCCCGGTGGTACCGGGCCGGGTCCGGAGCAGCCCCGGTGGTACCGGGCCGGGTCCGGAGCAGCCCCGGGGGTCCGGCCCGGGGGTCCCGGAGCAGCCCCGCCGCTCCCTCCCGGCCCGCAGGGCCCCGGCGCTGGCGGCTCCCGGTGCGGACAGCCGGGCCCGGGGCGGCCCCGGTTCCTCGCCCCGCTCCGCGCCCGCTGCTCCCGGATGGAGCCTCCAGCGGGGCTGATCCCGGGGTTTGGAGGGGTCGGGGCTCCTGCAGCCCAACCATGCCGGGCTCCCGGGGCTGCCGGGGCCGCTCCCGGGGCTCCGTGCCCGGAGCTGCTCCCGGGTCTCTCCGGTTCACTCCCGGGTCTCTCCTGGGTCTCTCCGGTTCTCTCCCGGTCTCGCCCGGGTCTCCGTGCCCGGAGCTGCTCCCGGGTCTCTCCGGTTCTCTCCCGGTCTCTCCGGTTCTCTCCCGGTCTCTCCCGGTCTCTCCCGGGGCTCCGTGAGGGCGGCTTTCCCGGCAGCTGCGCACGGAGCTGGCTGAGCCGCTTTGCTGCGGGATTTCTGCCCCCGTTGCTCGGGGCTCTTCCCTCCCCGGCCCCTCCGGTGCCGTTGGTGAGCCAGCACGGGATTTTTGTGCGGGATTTCCCCGGTTCTCCCGCTGCCGGAGCCGCCGCTCCCTCCCGGCCCGCAGGGCCCCGGCGCTGGCGGCTCCCGGTGCGGACAGCCGGGCCCGGGGCGGCCCCGGTTCCTCGCCCCGCTCCGCGCCCGCTGCTCCCGGATGGAGCCTCCAGCGGGGCTGATCCCGGGGTTTGGAGGGGTCGGGGCTCCTGCAGCCCAACCATGCCGGGCTCCCGGGGCTGCCGGGGCCGCTCCCGGGGCTCCGTGCCCGGAGCTGCTCCCGGGTCTCTCCGGTTCACTCCCGGGTCTCTCCTGGGTCTCTCCGGTTCTCTCCCGGTCTCGCCCGGGTCTCCGTGCCCGGAGCTGCTCCCGGGTCTCTCCGGTTCTCTCCCGGTCTCTCCGGTTCTCTCCCGGTCTCTCCCGGTCTCTCCCGGGGCTCCGTGAGGGCGGCTTTCCCGGCAGCTGCGCACGGAGCTGGCTGAGCCGCTTTGCTGCGGGATTTCTGCCCCCGTTGCTCGGGGCTCTTCCCTCCCCGGCCCCTCCGGTGCCGTTGGTGAGCCAGCACGGGATTTTTGTGCGGGATTTCCCCGGTTCTCCCGCTGCCCCTTCCAGAGCAGCAATTGCGGCTTTGACCTTGGCAGGGGCAGCAGAACCATCCTGGGATGGCTCTGGGATCCTCCAGAGCCGGGGAAAAGCTGTTTTTGGGGGTGTTTTCCCAGGAAAAACCCTTGTGCTTCTCACATCTCAGCTCCAGCTGGATCTGTGCATCGCTGCTGTCCCCAGGGCTGGGAGCTCCCGGGTCCCCCCTGAGCTCCTGCTGTGCTGTTTTCCTTGCAGAAATGTCTCCTCAGTGGCCCGTGGCTGCTCTCCAGGCGTTACCCCATCCCTGCCCTGCCCAGGAGTGCCCTGTACAGGATCAGCAGCCCTGCCCTGGGCACCCCTCAGGTTGGTCCCACCTGGATTTATTCCATTTCCACCCCAAAGTGGGAATGGAATCAATTCCCAGCAGAGCCCTGAGCTGGATGGGGATGTGGCTCTGGGAACTGCCAGTTCCAGGCTGGGAATCTCCACTTTTTCAATGGAACTCCAGGGATTTTTGGGGCAGCTGAGGTTGGACAGGGCTTGGAGCAGCCTGGGGTAGAGGGAGGTGTCCCTGCTCGTGGCAGGGGGTGGAGCTGGGTGGGATTTAAGGTCCTTCCAACCCAATCCATGCTGAGATTCCATGGAATCCGTTGACCACGTGGCTCTTTGAAGGGTCAGCTGCTGCTTTTCCAAGCAGCTCCATGTTTTCCCCACGTTCTGAAAGTGATCCAGGGCTTGCCTCAAGCCCATCGAGCTCCTGCCTTCAAAACTTTTGGTTTTTGGGTCCTGTTTGCTGGAATTCCTGGGGATTCCCCAACATGGAATGGTTTTCTCCAGTCCAGGTGCTACTCCTCGGGGGGAAGGAAGGGATTCATCTCAGGTTTTGTGGAGAACATCAAGCAGGAGTTAGCCAAAAACAAAGAGATGAAGGAAAGCATCAAAAAATTCCGAGATGAAGCAAAAAAGCTGGAGGAGTCGGACGCGCTGCGGGAAGCAAGGAGGAAATATGTGAGTGTTTGGGTGTTCCCTGCCTTGTTCCCTGCTTTATTCCCTGCTTTATTGAGCTTTTACTGCTCTGAGTGAACATCTCAATCCACAGCTGAGAAATCCTGCTTGGCTGGAAGCACTCAGTGCTAAATGGATGCCTCAGAATGTTTATTTGTTGGAATGTTTTGGGATTTTTGAAATTAATTTTTTTTAGTGGAAAGTCCTTCCAGCAGACACTTGGCTGCATTTCTGAGCAGATCAAATAACGAGGCATTAAATTGAGCATCAGATGTTTCTTTTGCATTGTTCAGAGAGCTCTGAACATCATCATTTGCAAGGCTGCTGCTGACTCAGGCCATGAACTCCTGAAATGTTGCTTTTCCTGCCCTCAATTCCAGCCTTGATGGATTGTGCTGCATCCAAGCTGGGTTGGAGTAGTTTCTGTCTCTTGATTCATGTTCCTTTCCCCCAGAAAACCATTGAATCTGAAACAGTGAAGACCTCAGAAGTGATTAAAAAGAAACTTGAAGAAATAACAGGGACGGTTAAAGAGGTAAAAGGACCTTTGAGCTCTGCTGAGCCTGGGCTTTGGGGGGCTGGAATTGTCCTTGTTGGTGGCAGCTGCTGCTGCTCCTGCAGCTTCTCAAACCAGAGGCATTCATGAAATAATGGATTGGGTGTGGTCAGAGCCAGGGACTCCTCTGGGATTTGGGGCATGGAGAAGAAGGAGACCCCACCTGCAGCCTTGGGAGCCCAAAATAAGGATGGGGAGCTGCTGGGGAGAGTCCAGAGGAGCCCCTGGAGCTGCTGCAGGGCTGGAGCCCCTCTGGGGAGAGCTGGGGGTGCTCACCTGGAGGGGAGAAGGCTCCAGGGAGAGCTGGGGGTGCTCACCTGGAGAGGAGAAGGCTCCAGGGAGAGCTGGGGGTGCTCACCTGGAGGGGAAAAGGCTCCAGGGAGAGCTGGGGGTGCTCACCTGGAGGGGAGAAGACTCCAAAGAGAGCTCAGAGCCCTTCCAGAGCCTCCAGGAGGGGCTGGGGCCGAGGCCTGGTTGGGCAATGACCTTTCCCTTTTCCCTTTTCCCTTGCAGAGTTTGGATGAGGTCAGCAAGAGTGACCTGGGCAGGAAGATCAAGGAGGGGGTGGAGGAAGCTGCCAAAACGGCCAAACAGTCTGCAGAGTCTGTGACCAGGGGAGGGGAGAAGCTGGGCAGGACTGCAGCCTTCAAAGCCATCTCCCAGGTACTGCTCCCCGAGCTCCCGGGGCATCCAAACCTCGGGAGGGGCTCTGGGGGGAGGTTTGGGGTGGGACCCTGCAAGGGTGGGATCCTGCAGGGGTGAAATGCTGCAGGGGTGAAATGCAGGTGTGAAATGCAGCAGGGGTGAAATCCTGCAAGAGTGAAATCCTGGAGGAGTGAAACACAGCAGGAGTGAAATGCAGGGGTGAAATCCTGCAGGGGTAAAATGAAGCAGGGGTGAAATCCTGGAGGGCTGAAATGCAGCAGAGGTGAAATGCAACAGGGCTGAAATCCTGGAGGGCTGAAATGCTGAGGGGTGAAATCACACCTCCCCTATCAGGGCTGAGCTCCTGGGGAGCTGCCTGGTGCAGGGTTGGAAAATGTCCCTCTCCAGAGGGATTTCAGCCTCCTCAAATCCCTTTTTGCAGGAATACAGAAAATATCCAATCTTTTATTGCCAAGCTGTGGCTGCCCCACCCCTGGCAGCGCCCAGGGCCTTTTGCTCTCCCAGTCCCTGCTCCAGGGCACCAAGCCCTGCTCAGGGAGAGCTGAACTCGTGGGTTTCCTGTTCTTCCCTCCTCAGCTTTGTTCTGGCACCTCAGGGAGAGGGAAGGCAGCTCTGCTCCTCCCCAGCTGGAGCTTCAAACCAGGAAAATCCTGAAAAATCCAGGGAGTTTCACACAGGATGGGATCTGCAGCTCCTGGGAGAGCAGTAAACCCACACTAACGGGGCTGTTTTCCTTGCAGGGAGTGGAAACTGTGAAGAAGGAAATAGATGAGAGTGTTTTGGGCCAGACAGGTCCCTACAGGCGCCCGGAGCGGCTCCGCAAGCGCACGGAATATTCCGGAGACAGGATCAAGGAGCAGCGAGTGTTTGAAGCCAATGAGTGCGTGGGGAGTCCTCTGGGGGGGATGTTTCTGTGTGTCATTTGGTGGAAAAGGTAAAAAACGGGTCAGGGATTTAAAATCCAGGAGCTGTGGGGTGGGAGCACCTGGGTCTCCAGCACATTCCCAGCAGGAGCGGATGATCCCGGATCTTCCTGTGGTAAAACTGGAAATTTAAAATTCTAAAGGTGAAATTTAATGTTCTGAGGTGAAATCCTGAGCTGAGAATTGCTTTGTGTTCTGTTTTAACTGGGTGAAGCTGGCCAGGACTAAGGCTGAGCTCCTTCTTTCTGGGCTGCTTTGCTCCTCTGAGTTGAGTTTTATTTGTCTGGTGCTTTATTTATCTGGAGTTTTGTCTACCTAATGTTTTATTTATCTGGGTTTTTATTTGCCTGCTGTTTCATTTATCTGCTGGATCATTTATGGGCCTATCATTTATGGGGCTGCAGTTTATTTTATAATTGATGGGGCCATCATTTATCTTGTAATTGAGCTCATCATTTCTGTGCTGTCAGCCTCAGTGATGCCAAGTGCTGCAGGGATATTCCTCAGGGTGCTGTCTGTATTTGTTACAAGTTAATTTTTCCCAAATATCCACATTTTATCCCTGTTTTCTGCTCTCTCCAGGGAAGCCATGGGCATGGTGCTGCATAAAGACTCCAAGTGGTACCAGCAGTGGAAAGATTTCAAGGACAACAACGTGGTTTTCAACAGTGAGTTGAGCCCATTCCCTTCCCAGCTCCCATCTGAGCCTCCAGCGCCAGCAAATCCCAAATTCCCACTTTTCTCTGTGGGTTTGGAGTGCTGGGAGTGCTGAGAAGGGAGGGAGGGAGGGAGAGCTGAACCCTGTTCTTCCCTCCTCAGCTTTGTTCTGGCACCTCAGGGAGAGGGAAGGCAGCTCTGCTCCTCCCCAGCTGGAGCTTAAAACCAGGAAAATCCTGGAAAATCCAGGGAGTTTCACACAGCTTCCAAATTGGTGAAAGACTTTAAAAGAAAAAAAAAATAAATCCTGTGATCTTTCTGTCATGTAAAGCTGACCTTTGATATCATCTGAGGCTGTTTCTAGTGCAAATGCCCTGACAACAATCCCAGAATTTAGGCTGGAAAAGCCCTCCAGGACCTTTTGAGTCCAAGGTGCCCCTGATCCCCACCTTGTCACCCCCAGGGCCCCAAGTGCCACCTCCAGGGATGGAGACTCCACCAGTGGGAGCAGCACTGCTCAAAGTGAGCCTGATTCTGAATTTGCTCATTCCATTGGATAAAAACCCTTCCCAGAGGTGTTAAATCTGAGTGCTAGCAGAGGAGGAGTTGCTGAGACATGAGAACACTGCAGGAAAATGGGGAGAAAAACGGGGAATAAAATGGGGAGAAAACAGAAATGGGGAATAAAATGGGGAGAAAACAAAAATGGGGAATAAAATGGGGAGAAAACAGAAAAATGGGGAATAAAATGGGGAGAAAAACAGGGAATAAAATGGGAAGAAAAATGGGGAGAAAACAAAAATGGGAATAAAATGAGGAGCAAACCAACTCCCAGCTGGTGCCTGGTGCTGAACAAAGGGGCTGAGGAGAGCTGGGGCCCTGGCTGGGGTGAGCTGGGAGGGCTCTGAGCTCTCTGTTCCCTGCAGGGTTCTTTGAGATGAAGATGAAATACGACGAGAGCGACAACGCCTTCATCCGAGCGTCGCGCGCCGTCACCGACCGCGTCACCGACCTCATAGGTACAGGGACATCAGGGGGCTGGGCACGGGTACAGGGACATCAGGGGGTGGTCATGGGTACAGGGACACCTCTGGGGCTGGTCATGGGTACAGGGACACCCTTGAGCTGCTCCTGCAGAGCCGGGACATCAGGGGGCTCCTCACGGGTACAGGGACATCAGGGGGTGGTCATGGGTACAGGGACATCAGGGGGCTGCTCCTGGGTACAGGGACACCCCTGAGCTGCTCCTGCAGGGACCCCATAGCTGCTCCTGGGTACAGGGACACCCCTGAGCTGCTCCTGCAGAGCCATGGTTCTGTCATGGGTACAGGGACATTCCTGGGGCTGCTCACAGGAGCAGGGACACTTCTGGGGCTGCTCCTGGGTACAGGGACACCTCTGGGGCTGGTCACAGGTACAGGGACACCCCTGGGGCTGGTCATGGGTACAGGGACATCCCTGAGCTGCTCCTGGCTCTGCTCCTGCAGCTGGAGCTGCCAGCCCTGGGCACATCCCCGAGCCCCGCAGCGCTTCCATGGGTCACTGTCTGGGTGAGGGATGGGAGGACAATCCTTGGGATCCTCCTCAGGCTGAGCTCCAAGGCTGGAGTCATTCCCAGGGTGGCTTTTCCTTCCTCTGCTGTGTCACCAGAGGTCTGTCCCTGTTCCCTGGTGGCTTTTCCTCTCTCTGTCACCAGGGGTCTGTCCCTGTGGCCAGGTGGTTCTCCCCTCTGCTCTGTCACCTGTGTCACACTGCTCTGTCACAGGTGTGTCCCTGTGGCCAGGTGGTTCTCCTCTCCTCTCTGCTCTGTCACCTGTGTCACACTGCTCTGTCACAGGTGTGTCCCTGTTCCCCGGTGGTTCTCTCTGCTCTGTCACCTGTGTCACACTGCTCTGTCACAGGTGTGTCCCTGTTCCCCGGTGGTTCTCTCTGCTCTGTCACCTGTGTCACACTGCTCTGTCACAGGTGTGTCCCTGTGGCCAGGTGGTTCTCCTCTCTGCTCTGTCACCTGTGTCACACTGCTCTGTCACGGGTGTGTCCCTGTGGCCAGGTGGTTCTCCTCTCCTCTCTGCTCTGTCACCTGTGTCACACTGCTCTGTCACGGGTGTGTCCCTGTGGCCAGGTGGCAGTGCCAGCCCTCGCTGAGCTGTTTTTGCAGGGGGGCTGTTCTCCAAGACCGAGATGTCGGAGGTGCTGACGGAGATCCTCAGGGTGGACCCCTCCTTTGACAAGGATCGCTTCCTGAAGCAGTGCGAGCGGGACATCATCCCCAACGTGCTGGAGGTGCTCAGCAGCCCTGCTGCCCTTCATTCTCCCCTTCCTTACCCCGTGGAAATTTAATTTTTTTGTAATTTTTCCATTGCTAAAAGCAAAAGTTGGGTCAGGATTTGCTTCTCCAGCTTTGCACAGGAAAGGTCTTTGCACAGACTTTGGGAAAGGAATCAGATCCCACATTTAGGTTGAAACCATGGGATAAAAAAGATATAAATAAAAATATAAATAGTTTATATATATATTTTAATATATATATATTAAATAAATACATATAATATAAAATATATTAAGTGTATACTATGCATAAAATTTATATACTTTATATCTATAAAAATATGACTATATATATTAAATAAATAAATAAATACAATATATATTAAGTGTATACTATGCATAAAGTTTCTATATTTTGTATATATATAAATATTAATATATATTAAATAAATATATATTGTATATTAAGTGTATACTATGCAAAAATTATATATTATATATATAAATATGACTATATATTTATAAAGTCTTACATATATAAGTCTTATATATAAATATAAGTTTTTATATACATATATGTCTATATATATGTATATATAAAAATATAAAATATATAAATGAATAGATATAAATAATTATTTTTCTGGCCTGGAAAACAACAATGAATGGAGTGGGATCAGAGGGAAGTGGGTGAGCAAATGCTGATAGCAGAGGGATGGGGGAAGGAATTTGGGATGTGCTCCTGGGGTTTGATCTGGGATTTGGGAAGAGCAGCAGGTTCAGTGGTCATGGAAGTGTCTGGAATTTGAGGTTTTTAGGGACTCAGAAGGATGAGAGATGTGACTGTAAGTGGATGTGGGTCCCTGTCACTGCAGCAGGAAAAACAGGGAATTTGGGATTTGAAATAGAGCAGGAATCATTCTGAATGTGGGATTTGAAATAGAGCAGGGATTGCTCTGAATTTGGGATTTGAAATAGAGCAGGAATTGCTCTGAATTTGGGATTTGAAATAGAGCAGGGATTGCTCTGAATTTGGGATTTGAAATAGAGCAGGAATCATTCTGATTTTGGGATTTGAAATAGAGCAGGAATTGCTCTGAATTTGGGATTTGAAATAGAGCAGGAATCATTCTGAATGTGGGATTTGAAGCAGAGCAGGAATTCAGAGGGACTCAGGAGGGACTGGAAGAGCTGGGGCTTGAGGAGCCAGACGTGGGATTGTTCTGTTCCTTCTGTGCCCTGAATTTTTCAGTGGGGGAAATGCAGCTCTGCTCCTGTTTGCTCCCAGGGTTTCTGAGCACTGGGAGCTCTGCTGCCTCTGGCAGGCTCAACAGGAAGATTTAATGGCAAGATCCAGCTGGAAGCTTGAAGAGATTTAATTATGCAAAGGTTTATGTCCCTTGGCGTGTGTTTTTATAGGAATCCTTTTTGCTGTTCCCCTTTGCAGCTCCAATTTCCCCCCAGAGTCCCACAAAAAGTGGGATTTAAGGTGTTTGGCTGCTGGAAGGGCTGATTGGTCCCACTTTGATCTAGGATCAAATGTTGAAATTTAAAATGTTCTGTGTGATTTCCTCCTCAGGCTCTGATCTCCGGGGAGCTCGACATCCTCAAGGACTGGTGCTATGAGGCCGTGAGTGAAGCTCCCAAAAACCTCCCAAAACTTGGGATTCTCCCTTGAAAATGGGGTTATTTTGAGGGGTTGGAATTCAGGGAGTTCCTGGAAGCAGAGCCTTTCTTGACAGTGTTGGTGGGTTTTTATTTGGGTCTTCATTCCTCCAAAATTATCGTGCTGTAAAATCCAAAATAATTCTGCTCTTCCAAATCCCAAATTAATTCAAGAGCTGAATTTCTCCCTGTGCTGTTCCCCACCACCAGAGGGCTGGGAGAGCCAATTTATTTTTTCAATTTAATAAATCCTGATCAGCTTTTTTATTTATTTTTTTTTGTAACAATAATCCAGTCTGAGAGCAAATAATCTTCCCTGCTTCCAGCAACCTTGGGAATGACACCTTGGATTGCCTTGGAGGGAAGCAGCAGCTTCACTGCAGTTTGTGAGGCCAAAATCAAACATTCCCAAGGCAGCTGGAATTGGAAATGAAGCTCCTAAGTCCAGAGTAATCAGTCAGATAAGCCAGGGGAGGAAATGGGAATTTTATCCCTGAGAACCTGGGGGATAAAACCTCTTAATGGATCCCACGGGTGCTGAGATGGTGATTCTGGTCACTGAACTCCTTGATTTTCCCAATTTTCCCCTGATTTTCCCAGTTTTCCCCTGCTTTTCCTTTATTTTCCCAGTTTTTCCTTGTTTTTTCCCTGTTCCTGCTGTTCAGTCCAGTTGTGAGTCCCTCAGCTGCTCTCAAGTCCTCACATTCTGCCCAAGAAAAATGGGATTTTTAGTTGGATTTTTGTGACTCCCAAAGCATTTCCTGCAGTTCTTTGATCCCTTCCTTCAGCACGTTTACAAAAAAATGTGACTTTTCCTCGTGGGGTTTTTTTCAGTGGCTCTCTCCAAGCAAAAATTCCCTTTTTTTTTTTTTTTTTTATGGTGACAGAACAATTCCAAACAATTCCCAACCCAAGTTTGTTCATCCCTCAGACCTACAGCCAGCTGGCCCATCCCATCCAGCAGGCCAAGGCCTTGGGGCTCCAGTTCCACTCCAGGATCCTGGACATCGACAACATCGACGTGAGTTCCCTGCCCAGCCTTCCCTCTGTGGGGGGAATTCAACTCAGGGGCTCAGGAGGGGGTTTTAGGGTCAGGGAGATGGGAAAAACCCTCCAGGATCAGCAAGTCCAACCTGCTTTGCTCTGGCTGCTGGGTTTGAGCTCTGGGGTTTGGGATTTCTGCTCCCAGAGGGGAAATCCCAGTGCTGGAAGGGAAATCCCAGTGCTGGAAGGGAAAATCCCAGTGCTGGAAGGGAAATCCCAGTGCTGGATGGGTAATCCCAGTGCTGGAAGGGAAAATCCCAGTGCTGGAAGGGAAAATCCCAGTTCTGGAAGGGAAATCCCAGTTCTGGAAGGGAAATCCCAGTGCTGGAAGGGAAAATCCCAGTTCTGGAAGGGAAAATCCCAGTTATCTAAAATATCTTGGAACTTGAGTTAGGCTTGGGTTTGGGTGAAAAATCGGTTTTTATTGGGATGGATTCAACTCCAGTGGGGTTGGGGCAGCTCATTCCCTGGATCAGGCATGGGAACGTTGCAGAGCTGTTGAGATTCCCTCAGGGAGCAGGAAAATCACCCTAAAAATAAATGTATTCCTTTGTGACCCAGCCCAGCCCTGTCCTGGCGCTGTTTCCTGTATTGGGGATAAAACAGAATGTTTGGGAACATTTCAAAAGAGGAAAATGCTGCTCTCCTCAGTGCCTGTGATCCTTTTTGGGGCAGCACAGGCAGGAATTCCATGGCATCCTGCATTCCCACAAAAAAAGGGATGCAAAGAGATTTCCCACAATGGGCAGAAAGAGAATTCTGGGTTTTGAAAAGGAAAAAAGCTGAATTTCCACTCCTCTTGCATTCCAGTGAATAAAGTCTTTAAATATTTAATGGAATAGAGGGAAAAAAATCCTGGCAAACAAAAGGTTCCCACCTTGAAGTCTTTGTGGTCCAGTTTTTGTCTGGTTCAGAACAACTTCCCACAAAAACTGATTTAAAAGCAGGAGAAAAGGCTCTGTTTGATCCTTGTAGGTCCCTTCCAGCTCAGGACGTTCTGATTCCGAGCATTTCCTTCAGAAAATTCCGGTTTTTTTGGAGAGCAGGGTGCCTTTGATTTTGCTTTCTAATTGGGAATAACGGAGCAGAGCTCGTTCCCATTTCCCACATTTATGGACTTGGGGAAATAATGAAAAAAACCCACAACAATTTTTGGGGAAAGCTTTGAGGATTCCCAAATTTTCACTTGGAATCTTCTTGGGAAGCAGCTTTCCCACCCTGTGAGAACGATGGAATTGCTGGGATGGAGCAGCCAGGGGGGAGCTGGGGGTGTGTGGGGTGGGGGAAACCTTCGGGTCTGGGGTAGGTTTGGGGTCTGGGATAGGTTTGGGGTCTGGGGCAGGTTTGGGGTCGGGGCAGGTTTGGGTTTGGGGCAGGTTTGGGGTTGGGGCAGGTTTGGGGTCAGGAACGTGTTTGGGATTTGGGTCACATTTGGGATCTGGACACCTTTGGGGTCTCCCCCTGCAGCTCTATCCCATCCCATCCCACCTGGCCCTGCTGGGTTTCCCTGCCCCTTTTCCTGCCCAGGGCCCTGGCACAGCAAACAGGCTGGGACAGGGCTGAGTCACTGGATCAAAAACCCCAAATCCTCGTGTTCAGCTCCCCACTCTGACACCAGGAATTCCATGGAAATCCCACAGGAGCCCCTGGCTGGAGCTCAGGCTGTGAGGGGTTCCTGGGGAGCAGGGAAGGATCTGAGACACAAATCCTGGCACCTCCTGAGTGCCTGGGCTGGGCTTGGGCTCTTCCCTCCTGGGGGCTCCAGGCTGAGCCTGGCCTCTGGAATTCCCTGAGTATATTTTTATTTATTTTTATTTTTATATATTATTTATATTTTAATATATTTTAATATACTTTTATATATCTATATTTATATTTATATTTATATTTATATAATTTTATTTATTTTTATTTTTATTTTTATATATTATTTATATTTTATATATCTTACATTTATTTATATTTATATATTTTATGTATTTATATATTTTATATAATATTTATATTTTATATATTTATATATTTATATTATTTATTTTTATTTTTATTTATATATTTTTATATATTTATATTTATATAATTTTATTTATTTTTATTTTTATTTTTTTATCTCTCCAGGCAGCTCCAGCCTGTCCTGGCCTTCAGTGGCTCAGTGACACCTCACGGTGTCAGTGCTGGAGCTGCCACTTCCCAGCACATTTTTCTTGGAATTAACGCAGGCATTTAACAAATATTGGCTTTTGCAACCCTGGCCTTTGGTCCAGGCTGGAAAAATGGGATTCATTTGAATGATGGGGCCCTTCTGGGCTGCTTCACAACCAGGGCAGAAACAGCTGATCCAGTGATTCCCTGCATTAAAGTCCTGCATTCCTGGGAGATAAATATTGATGGGATAATTATTGAACAGGATATCAAAGTCTGTTTGCTGTCAGGTTCCTCCAGGGCTGCAATAAATCAGGGAGAGGAATTCAAACTCTCCAGTGGAGCCCAAAGCTCAGCTTCAATTGAGAGCCTGGGGTTGGGTGGAGCTGCTGGAATATTGAACTTGGGGAGAGGAGAGCCTCAAATCCCCGGAGTCCTGGGGCTGGAAGGATTGGAGTGTTGGGGTCTGGGGTTGGGAGGATTGCAGTGTTGGGGTTTGGGGTTGGGAGGGTTGCAGTGTTGGGGTTTGGGGTTGGGAGGGTTGCAGTGTTGGGGTTTGGGGTTGGGAGGATTGCAGTGTTGGGGTTTGGGGCTGGAAGGATTGCAGTGTCAGGGCTCTGGGGCTGGAAGCATTGCAGTGTTGGGCTCTGGGGCTGCAGGTGCCCTGCCTGCAGGGCTGCAGGTGCCCTGCCTGCAGTGACACTCTCTCTGGCAGGACAAGGTGCTGCGCATGCTCTACGTGTGGGCCCTGTGCCGGGACCAGGACGAGCTCAACCCCTACATGGCCTGGAGGCTGCTGGACATTTCCTCCTCCAGCACGGAGCAGGTGCTCTGAGCAGGGCTGGGCCCTTCCCACCCCTCTGGAAGCAGCTCCAGCCTGGAATTCCCCACGGGAAGCAGCCCAGGCTGGGGGTTTGGGAGAGCTCCAGCTTCTCCCAGTCCCTGAGGAATGGGAATCTCTGCTCGGGAACGTCTGGGACGAGCAGCTGCTGCTTCATCCTCGTGCCTCAGGAGGCTCCTGGGCAGCTGGGAACCCCCAAAGCTGCCATTCCCACCTGCTGGCACCCTTGGAGATCCCTGGAAAGGCCTTGGAGGGGCTCCTGGCTGCCACTGTCCTGCCCGGGCTCCAGCCTCGCGTCCCTGCCGTGTCTTGCACTTTCCCAAACCAAATACAACCAGGACTTTGCACATGGAGGTGTTGGATCCTCAGGTTGGTGGTGGGATGGGGCTGATCGTTGGATCTCCAGGGGTGAGGTTTGTTTGTGCACAGCTTGGAAGGGGGAATGTTGTTGGTTCTGGTCCCAAAGAGCCACAGCTGCGTCCCTTGGGGTGGTGGGGAGGGGGTGGGACAGGAGGGGGAGGGCAGAGGGGGTGTCTGAGGAGGGGGACAGCTTTGGGAAGGCTGAATTTTTCTGTCCCATCCTGTCTCAATCCCAGGAGGAAAGCTGTGCTCCTTGCTCAGCTCTCTAGGCTTGTCTGCCCCTCATCCCTGCACAGATCCCAGGTCCAGGAGCAGAAACTTCCCCACTTTGCTGCTGGAGCGTGGGGTGAAATCCCCTTTCAGGCCCAATCTAAAAAATGGGGTTTGAAAATCCCAAATCATGGAAAAAATTCCCCAAATTCAGGTCCCAGTGGCAGAATTCAGTGGGATTTGGGCCCCTCTCCTTGAGCTTCTCTCTGCTGGGAGAAGGAGCAGGGGAGTGGCTGAGGAGGAGCAGAAATTGTGGGATTTGGGCTTCTGGAGGGGTTTGGGAACTTTGGGAGCTCAGCCAGGCCGAGGCACCACCTGCCCATGGGAAGGGAGCTTGGGAGAAGGATTGGAGAGGAAATCCAAGGATTGCTGTGCTGCTGAGGGTGAGGCAGGAGAGCTCTGCCCTGCCAGAGTGATTAAAGAAAATAATTCCAGTTCCTCTTCTCTTGTGAGTGTCCAGAGCTTCGAACATCCCTGGGTCTTCCCTGAGCGCTTTTCCTTTGGGATGTGACAGCTCCAGCAGCAGAGGCTGCCCCAGCCCTTGCAGCATTCCCAGGCTGTGGGATGTCACATCCCCTGTGTGGATCAGGACAGGCTGGGGTGGCATTTGGGTCCCAGGCAGCCCAGGGATGCTCCAGGCTGGAAATCTGGGATGGAGCAAGGCCAGGGAAGGGGCTGAGGGAGCTGGGAGGGGGCTCAGCCTGGAGAAAAGGAGGCTCAGGGGGGCTCTTGTGGCTCTGCACAGCTCCTGACAGGAGGGGACAGCCAGGGGGTGCCCCCAGGGGACACCAGGACAAGAGGGAGCAGCCTCAGGCTGTGCCAGGGGGTTTAGGTTGGGCTGCACAGCTCCTGACAGGAGGGGACAGCCAGGGGGTGCCCCCAGGGGACACCAGGACAAGAGGGAACAGCCTCAGGCTGTGCCAGGGGGGTTAGGTTGGATATTGAGAAAATTCCTTCATGGGAAGGGTTGTAAAGCCCTGGCACAGCTGGGATCCCCATCCCTGCAGGGATTTAAAATCCACGGGGATGTGGCACTTGGGGACAGGGCCAGGGCTGGCCTGGGCAGGGCTGGGTTCATGCTGGGGGCTCTGGAGGCTTTTCCAGCCCTGGGGGGTTCTGTGGCTCTGGGCACTGCCAGCCCTGCCCGGGCTCCATCCCCGCCGTGCCTGCGGGGTTGCCATGGGGATGGGGATGCTGGGATGCTGACTCAGAGCTGCTCTGCCAGCTCTGACATCCCGTGGGCTGCTCCCATCCCTCGTGGGGGGCTCTGAGCCCCCACGCCTTCCCAGGCTGCTCCAAACCTGCAGCCCGGCCTCGGGCACTGCCAGGGATCCAGGGGAATTCCCCTCCAGGGCCTCCCCAGCCTCAGGGAAGGGTTGGAATGAGATGATTCCAGCCCATTCCAGGATTCTGTGATCCCAGAGCTGCCCCTGGGAAGGCTGGGCCATCCCTCCCTGTTACCCCAAGGCTTTTGGGGCTTTTCCCCAGATCCTGCAGTGCTGGAGTTTGGACAAGCAGCCCTGCCCTGAGGGGTTGCTTCAGGATTTTCCCAGTTCTGTGCTGGATTTGATGGAATGTGATGATCCCCAGTGGTCCCTCAGTGCTCTTTGCTCCTCTGTTCCTCCCTCCAGTGCATTTTTGGGATGCAGCCCCTGCTGCCAGGTGAAATTGTCCTCCCTGGGCCTTCCTGGCACCGGGGCTCTTCTCTCCAGCCTTTAGCACACAGAGCATCCCTGCCAAATGACAGCTCTGAGGGGAGGCCTGAGCCAAGCCCGAGCACCAAGCTCGTTTAGGAACAATTCATTAGAGGGGGGAGGATTTTTTCAATGAGGTGTTTTTCATCTGGGAACAGAGCTGGGACAGATCCATGGAGCAGCAGCCTCCTGTGCTGCCTCTCCAGAGCTCAGCTCCTCTGCCAAAGCCTCGGAGATGGTTTTGGGGTTTTTTTTTTGCTGGTGAATGATTCCAAAATGATTCTTCTCCTGTCTCAGATCAGCTCCAAGAGCTGTGAGTTCTCCCTGGAGCTGCTGGAAGGAGCGGGGGCTTTGGCAGGCTGGGTGGAGGATGAGTTACTGAGTTCTTCTGGCTCTGACTATTCCTGCCAATTAAAAGAAATAAATAAAGCTTAATTAAGGCACAGGCTTAGAGAACGCTTCTCCCCACGGAGCACGGGGAGGAAATTCCACTTGGAAAGGTTCTGCCTGTGGCTGCCCCGTCCGTGGAGGTGTCCAAGTGGGGAGGGGGTGGGACTGGAGGGGCTTCCAGATCCTCCCGAGCCAGCCCCAATTCCCTGGCTCAGCCCTGGAGCAGCAGCAGCAGCAAAATCCCAAACGCCAGGCTGGGATGGGCAGAGTGCAGCAGAGATTTGTTTTCCAGAGGGAAAAAATTCTTCCAAACACCCCCTGGGAGCGGCTGGGCACCCAGCAGGAGCAGGATCCTGGCACAGCACCCAGAGGGGCTGGAGCAGCAGCAGTGCCACCACGCCTGGCTGTCACCAGGCGGGCACACAGAGCTGAGGGGGAGCTCCCGGGATGGCCCTGCAGGGCTGGAAAACCCCGGGAATGCCCCGGGGAGATGGGATCCAGCACCTCGGAGCCATCCCATAAAACCATCCCTGGTTTGGAGCGGCTGGAGTCCAAAGCAGCCCTCGGGAGGGAGATGCCCACGGGCTGAGGGATGGATCCATTGATTTTATTCTGTCCTTGATCTCCATCTCGCCTTTCCCTGGGCTGTTTTCAGCTGAGGTGCTTTTTAAAACGGCTTTAATTCATTTTCCCTTGGCTGCTGCAGCGCTGCTAATTGGGAACTGGGACTATCTGACAGGATTTACATAGATTTTGAAACGGGAAAGGAAAAACTTCCAAAAATACCTCCCTTTGTAAACGCAAATGCAGCAGAAACTCCATGAAACCGTTTTCTTAAAATACCCCGAAAATCCGCGGTGATTTTGATGGATCCTTGCTGCCAGCGAGGTTTGCTCTGGGAGAGGATGGACCCGAGCATCCCGGCAGGCTCTGACCGCAGCGGGGTCTGGGAGCGCTCGGGAGCTCCCGCACGCTTCCCGGCATTCCCGGGACTGGGAGAGGCTCAGATTTCCTGGGATTGGGAGAGGCTCGGCATTCCCGGGATTGGGAGAGGCTCAGCATTCCCTGGGATTGGGAGAGGCTCGGCATTCCCGGGATTGGGGGAGGCTCAGCATTCCCGGGATTGAGAGAGGCTCGGCTTTCCTTGGGATTGGGAGAGTCTCAGCATTCCCGGGATTGGGAGAGGCTCAGCTTTCCCGGGATTGGGAGAGGCTCAGCTTTCCTTGGGATTGGGAGAGGCTCAGCATTCCCGGGATTGGGAGAGGCTCAGCATTCCCTGGGATTGGGAGAGGCTCAGCATTCCCGGGACGGGGAGAGGCTCGGTTTCCCTGGGAACTGAGGCTCAGTTTGCCCGGGAACACAAGCTCAGATTTCTTTGGGAGCACAGATTTCCCGGGATCACAGGCTCATTTTTCCCGAGAACACAGGCTCAGCATTCCCGGGATCACAAGCTCAGCTTTCCTAGGAACACAAGCTCAGATTTCTTTGGGAACACAGCTTTCCCGGGAGCACAGGCTCCGCTTTCCCTTGGGAACGAGCCTGGCGCTGGAGCCGCGGCTCGCTCCATCCCCGGCCGTGGGACGGGATCTCTCCCGGCCTTGTTTGGGTCCCTGGCTGCTGCGGGACCGGCCCTGGCGGGGATGAGCCCGCGGTCTCCATTGGCACCGGCACGTCTGAGTTCCCCGGAACGTCTGCCAGGAGCTCCCGTAGCCATGGAGACACCGAAGCCGTGCACAGCAACACTTTTCCAGGCGTTTTCTCCCTGTTTTTTTTCTCTGCCAGCCTCCTCGGGGCCGTGTGACTCTGTTGTGCCCACACCAAGGGCTGATAATTTTAAGGGAATAGTGGAATTTTCTATGGAATGCCAGGTGGGAGCCCTGGCAGAGCTTATCCTCCCAGCATCCCGCTGCTCCCAAGGTCTGTGCCACCCCAATGGGCACCTCTTCCATCTCCAGCCCAAAGGATTCCATGTGGGATGGGGCATCTCTGCTCTGGAGCCGGGCTGGGAGAGCTGGGGGTGCTCAGCTGGGGAAAGGAGGGATCCAGGGGGAGCCCAGAGCCCCTTCCAGGCCCTGAGGGGGATCCAGGGGAAAGGAGGGATCCAGGGGGAGCCCAGAGCCCCTTCCAGGCTCTGAGGGGGATCCAGGAGAGCTGGGGGTGCTCAGTTGGGGAAAGGAGGGATCCAGGGAGAGCTCAGGCCCTGAAGGGGCTCCAGGAGAGCTGGGGAGGGACTGGGAGCGAGGGATGGAGGGAAAATGGGAGTCACCCCCTGCTCTGCCCCGGGTGTGTGGAAGGAGCGCTCCGGAGGGACGGATCCAGCCAGGAATGGTGCAGCAGCAGGGATGGGCTTGGCTGCAGGAGGCTCTGAGGGTGTGCTGGAAGCTCCTGGCTGGAGAGGGGCAGCAGCTCCAACACCACGGTCCTGTCCCTGCTGCCAGCCCGTGCTGGCCACGGGAACATCCCGGGATCCTGGGCAGGGTGGGATGAGAGGGGTGGGATGAAAGGGTGGGATGGGAGGGGTGGGATGAGCAGAAGCAGGATGCTGAGCACAAGCAGCAGCAATGCTGGAATTCCAAGCTGCCATTTGGAAAGGATCTTGGCCAAATATCCCCGTGAGGCCTGGATCCCTCCTGCCTGTCCCAGCACGGGGCTGCTCCAAGGTTTCCTGCACCCCCACGGCCCTCCTGTCCCCCACATCCCCGGGGCCACTCCCAGGGGTGCCCCTGCAGCCACCCTGACCCCCCAATCCCGTATTTTCACAGCATTCCCACGGCTCTGCATCCCCAGGGTCCTCCTGCAGGACCACACCCACTGCAGCCCCCCTGGCCCTGGCCCCAGGGCCCTGGGCTGTCCCCTCCCCGGGTGTCTCCACCACATTCCTGGGCATCGCCCCCCACGACAGCACAGCCCCTGCACCCCCAGGACCACATCCCTGAAATCCCCCAGGACCACATCCCTAAAATCCCTCAGGAACCACATCCCTGAAATCCCCCCAGGACCACATCCCTAAAATCCCTCAGGAACCACATCCCTAAACCGCCCCCCCAGGGACCAAATTCCTAAAATCCCTCAGGAACCACATCCCTGAAATCCCCCCAAGGACCACATCCCTGCATCCCCCCACTCCACCTGTATCCCCGGCTTACCACATCCCTAAACCCCCCATGGTACCACCATCCCTAAAATCCCCCAGGAACCACCATCCCTAAAACCCCTCCATGGTACCACCATCCCTAAAACCCTCCAGGAACCACCACCCCTAACCCCCCCATGGTGCCACCCCCCC